GGGGGGGGGGGGGGTCAAGGATCAGGTTTGTGTCATCAAGGGATTGTGTTAGTCTGTGAAACTGTTTAAGAAGCTTCTTTATATTCCCAAGAGCAGAAATTCCTGCGCTTTACAAAGATATTTTAATCTAATAAGTCAATCTTTACTATATATGCATCCTGTCAATATTTTACGCATCTTTGCGTTCGGTTTGGTGCTAGCGGCGCGTTGTTTCGGTGGTTTGGTTTTTTTTGGGACACCCTGTACAGTATACTGTGACTTTAATTAAAAGGTCTATGTTAGGAGGAGGAGGTACTTTACGTCCAGTTTGTGCCTTGTCCGTTTGAGTACAGCACTTTTTTAATTGCATATTTATAGATGAATATTTGTATATATATTGTACTCAATAAAGTTTAACAAACAAACAAACAAACAAACAAACAAACAAACAAACAAACAAACAAACAAACAAACAAACAAACAAACAAACAAACAAACAAACAAACAAACAAACAAACAAACAAACAAACCAAACAAACAAACAAACAAACAAACAAACAAACAAACAAACAAACAAACAAACAAACAAACAAACAAACAAACAAACAAACAAACAAACAAACAAACAAATTAGGTAAACAGTCAACTCACGAAGGACTAGCCTAGTTAGTTGGCTGGCTAAGAGAGCTAACAAATAATTAAATGACTGATATAAAGAGGTCGAAATATAATACAATATAGATGAAAAAAAAAAGAAAAGATTATAGCATATTTAATGTTCTTATATATATATAGCTACGTAAATCTGAACCTTGTCCTTTATTATAGATACGCACAGCAATATATATATATATATATATATATATATATATATATATATATATATATATATATATATATATATATATATATATATATATATATATATATATTATATAGATACGCACAGCAATATTATAATTATATAGATTTTTATAATATAGCATTTGTAAATTCTGAACGCTGATTGGCCAAGAGCCGTGTTGATATAACTCAATGTCAACACGGAAAATTTCTTTCTTTATATTTCTTTGTGCTATATTATAAAGGAAATATAAAAAATTTCTCCAAATAGTGAGAAAACACTCCGCCCTTCGGGCGTCGTGTTTCCACACAATTTCTCGTTTTCCCAATTTCCACTCGTGTTGATATAACTGCATGTATATCAACACGAAAAATTATTTATATTTAACAAATATAAAACCTTTTCCGTGTTGATATACAGTTATATCAACACAAATGGAAATTGGGAAAACGAGAAATTGTGTGGAAACACGACGCCCGAAGGGCGGAGTGTTTTCACACAATTTCGAGTTTTCCCAATTTCCACGAGTGTTGATATAACTCTATATCAACACGGAAAAAAGTTTTATATTTGTTTTATAATATAGCAGAAAGAAACATAAAGAAAGAAATTTTCCGACGTTTCCGTGTTGACATTGAGTTATATCAACACGGCTCTTAGCCAATCAGCGTTCAGAATTTACAAATGCTATATTATAATTGTTAATTGTATAGATATGCACAGCAATATTATAATTATATAGATATGTATAAAATTATGTTAAGTGACAATTTATTTGCACAAAGTCATTCACTCATTTATTTTTATTAAACGATTATTGTTGTTTTCTATTGTTGTTTTCTAGTTTTGGAGTAAAAAAGATTTGAATCATCTGGAAACAGATGAAAGTCAAACAACTTAGAACTGTTTTGACAAGGGAAGTTTTGATAAGGGAAGGGCGCATTGGCAGCTAATGGGTTAAACCACCGTGGTTAAACATAAGATTTGATGCTCCAGGAAATGTAAACAAGCTATCAGTGTGACATCCCAGTTTCAGGCGACCTCGATGCGGCAGAAACAAGAATAAGAAATATTTGTAATGAATTGGAATCATCCATAATTTATACATCAACATTTTCAAAAACGGCCAATTAGATTAGTGGAAACGTCATCCAATAAGAAGCGTGTATTTGAGAGTTAATCACTATGTAACTACAAAATAGTGATAAAAAAAGTGATTATTAAAGAGTTTTATACAACCGGCCCCTGGGGTTAAAGGGCAATGATAATGACAATGACATGCAGGTGACATTTAACATGTGTGACTGTGCGTAATTAAAATTTGCGTGTTTAATAATAATGTTTATCAAAGAAGGCAAAAATATATACAAGACAACCTCACATGTGGAATCTGTTCACTTACACACTGCCTTGTGATGCAGTGTTATGAAGTTTTGACACTTTAGTACATTAATTTCGCTATGTTTGGGATTAGTTGATTAATAACTTTATAATTAGATGAATACTGAGAACAACATTGCCTAATATGGACATCTATTAGTTTTAGCGTAATGATTGACATTTGGATAAAAGTAAACAATATAGGTTTTTATAGTGCATGTGAAAACAGGGCGTATTATTGTGAGACTGCGAGAAATACGAAGAGATTTATATACGTTTTATACGCGTGTTTATTGTGAATTATTGTGATTGTGGAGAACATCTGTTCAGCGGAGGGAACATTCTCTACACGTGGCACCTCAGACGGGATCGGGTAAGTTTTAACTCGATAAAATCAAATACAAACCGCTGTATTTTTAAGTCAAACGAGATGGAGTCTGATGCGCTAGATACGAAGCTAACGCAGCTTGAAATTACGGTCCAGAGAACAGAGTTTGTGTTGACTTCTGCACGACGAGAACAAATCAAACGGCACTTAGAAGCATTGGAAGCGATTTCACGTGAAACTGATGAATGTAAACGAGCCGTAGAACTCAAGAAAATCGCAAATAAGGAAGAGTTATCCGAGATAAACAAATGGCATGACGAAATTGACGAGAAATTAAATAAAGCCGATATCGAAATAAGTCGTCTCGAAGGGTGGCTCAACGACAAGGAGAAACATGAGAAATTTTCTGCACAAGAAGAACAGCTGAAATTCGAACTAAAGCTACACGAAACAAAGTTGAAGTTACAAACAGAATTGACAACAAATGCATCGCCAGACACGTCCAATACGACTACAATCACAGTGTCTGAGAAAACCGCCAAGCTTCCAAAGTTGGTGATCTCAAAATTTAACGGATCTTATATGGATTGGCCCAGATTTTGGGGACAGTTTTCCGAAGCCGTAGACAAGAGTACCATAGCCCCTATAAGCAAGTTTACGTATTTGTGTGAATTACTTGAGCCCAGTGTGAAACGTGTAGTCGAAGCCCTTCCGTTCACTCCCGAGGGATATAACAGAGCAAAGTCCATATTAAAAGACAGGTTCGGGAAAGAATCGGAAATCGAGAAAGCATACGTGAAGGAGATATTGGAACTGCCCCACATAACAAGTCCAAGTCCAAAGAAGATTGGCGAGTTTTATGAAAAATTATCTTATTCGGTGCAAGCACTGGAGACCATGAAAAGATTGGATCAAGTTTCTGGAAATGTCTCGATGACCCTCGACAAACTTCCGGCAATTAGAGAGATTTGGTATGCACAGATCCCGATTGGAAACCTGGGATTTCCTCAAGCTAACTGAAGCGCTACGCCAATGGGTAAGAAGAAATCCAGCTGACAAGAACGCTGAACGAGAGCGCGAGGAAAACAAACGGAAACGGGACCACCACAATAGATTGTTCCAGGCAAGAGGCGGCGATTTCAAGGTTAAGGGCTGTGTTTACTGCGGAGATGAAAACCATAAAGCTATTGAATGTAACAAAGTAACGGATATCACCGAGAGGAAAAGAATTCTGGCGCAGAAAGGATTATGTTTTAACTGTGCTACGAGAAATCACCGCGCCGCGGAATGTCCAAGCAAGACTTCGTGTCAATACTGTAAGAGACACCATCACACCTCGTTGTGCGGACAAGCTCAAGATGGGAACGTGAAAAATGGGAAATTGACGATAGATGGTAAAAGCGGTGATGCAATATTTCCCGTTGTGGTCGTAAAGGTTGATGGAATCACCTGTCGCGCGCTTGTCGACTCCGGGGCTGGCAGTTCATACGCGTCGGCGAAGCTCATCGATCTCCTGAAAAAGAAACCGAGTGCGACGAAGATTCAGCGTATCGACATGCTTATGAGCTCGCGAGTTACGAGAATTGAGTCATATGACGTGGTGATCGGGTCCGTGGATGACAGTTACAAAATGGAAGTACGTGTGACAAAGTCAACAAGGGTGAACTGTTGAGGATTGATAACCCAAGATATGAACAGTTGATACGAAAGCATCAGCACCTGAAACAAGTCGAGATCGCAGACCATGATTCGTAACAGCAACTCCCGATTCACATGATATTGGGAAGTGGAGAATACGCTCGAATTAAAACCGGAACTGTACCACTTGTCGGTGAGGATGGTGACCCAGTAGCTGAATTGACCAAACTTGGGTGGTTCGTGATGAGCCCGGGGGCTGAATTTAACCAAACCACTGTTCTGATGACACGAACCTCTCAGAGTGACTACGAGAACCTCAGCGGAGAAAATGATCAAGAGATGGTCTATCAAGATTTCAAAGAGCAACTTGGAAGAAGCCCAGACGGATGGTATGAAGTGAACCTTCCTTGGAAGCCACATCATGCCTTGTCAGCAACGAACGAGCAAGGAAGTCGAAGGAGATTGGAACAACTTGTGAAGAAGTTGCGACGCGAAGGGAATTACGACAGCTACGACCAGATAATTCAAGACCAATTACAGCAGGGTGTGATTGAACTGGCACCTGACGAACCGAGTAAAAAGGAGTTTTATCTTCCACATAAAGCGGTTGTCAAGCGAGAAGCGGAATCGACAAAACTCCGGATAATGTACGATGCCTCAGCGAAGGAGTCCAACCACCACCCATCACTCGATGATTGTCTCTACCCTGGTCCCCCCTTGCAAAACCTCCTCTGGAGTATCCTGGTCAGGTCGAGATTTTATCCCGTGCTACTCACTGGCGACTTGGAAAAGGCTTTTCTACAGGTCCGGATCAAAGAAGAAGAGAGGGATGCTCTGAGGTTCTTTTGGAGATCACCCAGTCAAGATAAGACAGTGATATATCGGTTTACGAGAGCACTCTTCGGTCTTACCTGTTCTCCATTCCTACTAGGGGGAGTGATCAGCCATCATCTCAAGTCGTGGGAACTGGAGTATCCAGACGTAGTGAAAGAGATACGGGACGGCCTATACGTAGACGACCTGATGGTTTTGGAGGCTCCAACGTCGAGGTGGTCGCAGAGAAGAAAGCAACAACAACCGAGGTGTTTGAGGACGCAACTTTTGCCTTGCATAAGTGGCATTCAAATAGGGAAGAGCTCGAAAACGACAACGCTAAATCAACCAGTGACGTGGGACCAACATACGCAAAGCAACAACTAGGATCGAACTCATCCGAGGCCAAACTATTGGGCCTGCCGTGGGACAAGAACGAGGATACCCTGAGCGTTACGATTGGTAAAGAGAAATCAGCTTCAACAAAGAGAGGTGTTCTCTCGGCTCAAGCAAAGATATGCGATCCCTTGGGTATAGTGTCACCGGCGACGCTTCAAGGAAAGATAATGTATCGAGAGATTTGCGAGTCCAACGTCGCCTGGGATGGGGAGTTCCCAAAGCTGTTGAAGAAACGTTGGGATGACTGGTCTGCTACTCTTCCTGAACATGTCACAATTCCGCGAACACTAGCTCCATACCTACAACCAATAAAGGAAGTCACGCTTCACGCTTTTGGTGATGCCAGTAAAGATGGTGTATCAGCGACGGTCTACGCCGTGGTCGAGCAAGAGCAGGGGACGACACAAGGACTTGTGTGCGCAAGATCCCATCTCGCGAAACGGAACCTGACAATACCGCGACTGGAGTTGGTCTCGGGCCACATGGCAGTAAACCTTGCGACCAATATCAGAACGGCACTTACTATTCATCCGCCACCAATCATTCACTGCTGGTTAGATTCAAGCGTGGCGTTGTATTGGATCAAAGGCCAGGGAGAATTCCGACAGTTCGTGTCTAACCGAGTACACAAGATCCAGCAACATCGCGATGTTAAGTGGCACTACGTGCCAACGACCGAAAACCCGGCGGACCTAGGGAGTCGCGGAGGAAGCGTTGTGAGCCATACGTTGTGGAGCAAGGGCCCCCTCTGGTTAAGCGAAGCAGCAAAGTGGCCATCCGATATCGTTCTGAAAGCTTCCCCAGAAACTGAGAAAGAAACGAGAATGACCATCAGAAGTGTTCTCGCCATGGCAGTTCGTGTTCGAGACGATTTTGACAAGTTATTGGAGTCTCACGGGCTGCGCAAAGTACACAGAATCGGAGCATGGGTACGGAGATTTATTCAAAATTGCCGACAGTTGCGTAAGAACCGAAAGTTTGGACCACTGGACACCACGGAAATCGAGCAGCAAAAGATCTGGTGGATCAAGCGAACTCAGCAAGATGCTCAGAACAGTGCTCACTTCGAGAAAGACAAGCTACAACTTAACCTGCAACCTAACCATCAACACATCTTCGAATGCAGAGGGAGAATCGAAGGGGAGTACCCAGTTTACCTGCCAGACGACCATCCGTACACCGAGAAAGTGGTAGAGCAAGCCATTATTTGTCATTACACGGCGGGGTGAGTATGACTATGGCAAAGGTTCGTGAAACGTACTGGATACCCAGACTACGCCAGGTGACCAAACGAGTACGAGGTCGTTGTTGGGGATGTAAGAAATTCAGAGTTAAAGCATATCAGTCCCCACCCCTGGCACCCTTCCATCTACAAGAACCAAAGGATCGACACCGTTCGAAGTTCTAGGAGTAGACTTTGCCGGTCCAATCCGATATCATACGAAAGGGAAATCTGAGAAAAAGGCT